CATCAGTCAATTGATCAAACGCTGAATTGAATGGCCAAAGCTGGCGTTGGACAGTTTGATCCTCAGAGGTGACAAAAGGTACGATTCCGGTGTCGGCCCAACAGTTCCGAATCGTAGTTGACGTACTGTAACACAATTCCAATGCTGCCTTGTCTAAAGGCCCCCAAGCACATTATTTCAAGGTATTTTTCACGGGGTGTATAAAATTTATACCAGCAGGCAAATGTTGCGGGATCACTATACTTGAATTTTTTGTCACCACCCAGTTGAATTTCAAACCGCACGTCGACTTGTTGAAAAAATATTATGAAACGTGTATTCACTCTGATCCAATAAATGGCACGTGGAATTCTGAATTCTGCGTGTGGGGACACTTGAGCAGTGTGAAACGAAAGGAACCTGCCTCTCTACGCGCACGCAAGGCAGAGAACGCAACATTCAACGTATCATGGAGTTCGTGCAGATCACATGCATGCCGTCTTGCCTTCGTCCTCACGAGATGGTGCAAGCACACACACGTTGTTGCCCGTTGGTTGGGCACAATCTCGCCGTCAACGATTCCTACCGTCGCCACTTGTGAGTCTGGTTTTGTTTTTTCATGCGCACCAACCTCGAGGAGAAAATCGTCGGTATCCCAGTCCTGTTCGTCCATGCAACGCACAAATCGGTCGAGCGGAGGGGGCAGATTCGACTTGTACGTCCACAACGGCACCCCCGTTGTCGGCTCCACGACGCGCTCGAGCCCACTGCAGTCTCGCGCTGGATCGAGTGCTTGAAACGTGCGGTGCAGCTCGCGGCGGGCAACGTCGAGCACCCGTCGTCGAGACACGTGGTCTCCGCCCTTGGCTTGAATGATCGCCTCGGTTAAAACGGGAACGTATTGCAAGCAAGGGAGTCGCAGCGCCGCTTGAGCTGTGCGTAGGTGCATGAGGGTGGTCTGCACTACGTCGTTCGAGGTTGGGAAGTTGACTAGTTCTTGGATGTTGTGCACCATGTGCAGCCCCGACGCAAGGAATGGCAAGAAGATGCCGACCAAGTCCGAGTCCACCAACAGCGGGTACATGGAGGACGTGGCAAGACGTGGAACCATCACGAGGGTCCCTTCAACTTCGTCCACCAAGTACAAATAGTACCACGATCTGTCGACCGCCGCTGCGGAGACCGCGCTGGGCTGTTGCATGGCTTGCATCCCCGACTCGAGAAGCGTCTGGGCCAACGACCAGCCTCGTCCAAGCGCTTCGTAGGCGGCGGTGGCCCCCTGTGCACGTAGCACCGACTCAAAGTGGAATGGCAACAGGACCATCGACGTGGGATACGAGCATCCTCGCATGGAGGAGCCTGCTCTGTGGTCGGTAGTTGAAGGGATCAACTGAGCGAGCGATTGCACTTTAGCTCGTGCCGCATCTTGGAGACGCTGGAATAACCACCGAGGCGGCGTGGGAGTTGACGAAAGTGCCATTGGTCGGAAGCCCGTCTTTACAGTCGTGGTTACGTTGATAGGTTTGTCAAATGGGTTCCCGTTCGAGAGGGCTGCTGGCGAGGGCGTCGGGGCCACCACCGCTGACGCATGCCCCATGGCCGGGGCTTTCGATGATGTCAGCGGATTGATCTTCAGAGTGTCCTTGACTTTGTCCGCTTTATCGCCGACGTCCGCGCTAGAATATCGGGGTATGCCTAGTGAATCCGCTGCGAGAAAGCCTGCAGCGCTCGCCGGAGGCTCCTAATTAAGGCAAAAATTAAACTCATTCACGATACACAGGCGTACAACGCTACCTGGCCACTCGAACGTAGCGCCGTGGATGGTGCGATTCCGTCAAGTTGGGGAATTGGTTCGTGCCATGCCATGTCCTTCCCGTTGCATTCAGCGTCAACCTCATTAAATGTTGAGAATTCGACTGGTTGACGCTACAAAGCAAGCGAGCATGTCGTTGAGAGTCACGCCGCAGGACTGGCGTACGCATGGTTCTGACGAAGAGACGATGTCTGCCGCAGCAATGTCATGAGCGCCGTCAACATCCACAGGCTCGTTCGGTACATCGCTCTTTGACGTGTTGGGCGCAGCTTCCTCACAACACCCGTCACTCTGGTTGTCTGTTGTGGCTTCCTGGCTGTTCGGGAGGACGGCGGGCGCCTCTGAGGGCGGCGGTGGGAAAGGAGCTGGCGCAATCTACATGGGATAAGCATAGGATAACACGAGTTTCTCGGGGGAAGTTGTATCAAAGGAGTTGTGCTTACGTCGAGCGCGTTCATGTCAAGTGTACCGTTGTTGTTGTGCTCAACCGCGAATCCCCCACCGAGAATGGGCTTCTTCGCTGTGGCTTGCTCAACCTTCGTAGGACCTGGCCACTTTACAGTGTCCTACATCCACGCCGTTGGTTTCACCGTCACCGCAGAGGTCTGTGCGTGCGCACCCAGGTGACATCGCTTTCAGTGTCGCCGACAAGATCCTTGTTGCCGTCCACTTCGACGTCGTCCACATCATGCATGTGAAATGAGATTGTCGATGTAGTGCTCGACACAGGTGACATGGACAGCGATGGACTCAATTGTTCCCATGACGTGTGCACTGTATCCGCGTCCACGAGAACACCTTCAACATCGCTTGTTCGTATGTGGTTGCTGGGACTCATGTAGTTCTCCATAATCTCTCCCAACGATATCGATGAAGACGCCATCTCTAGCCACGAGGGTACCCATGATCAAGGCAGAGCATTGCATCGGTCGTACCCAAGCCGCGTGTAGCCATTGCCCCTTGGACGGAATTCGATTTGTGGCGCACGACACACTTGCCACGATCTTCTCTTGGGGAATTTTCCCCTTCACTTTGGAATGTATGTCCCATGCGCGACATCCTTTCCATATGATTGGCTGGCGGAATCCTCTCGTCGATTTTGAATACATGTACTAGTATAGAATACATCTCACGAAGACAAGTGCTCGATGTGGTGGTCCGTGCCGGCACCGTCAAGACTGCCAAGCACTGTCGGATCGAGTCCTAGTTATGACGTGGAGAGGACAGAGTTCTACACGTGTAAAAGTGCTATCGTTCAAGGGCAGAGCCGAGCGCATTGAGTCGGTCAAGTGGACGAAACCGCCATGTTGCGTGACGAGGAATTTTCCCCGTGAACTAGACCCACCGCGCCTGTGTAATTTAACACCTTTCGAATGTCATTGGGCGATGCTCGTGCTGTTCTTATATCGAGGGACGTGCCACTGTCGCGACGGTGTTACGCGCTGAGAAAAAAGGGCACCTCGTGGCTCGCCGCCGAGACCGCCCCGCGAGAAGGAGCTCGTGGCGGCCCGAGGATGCGGTCGTCGGCTCGGCCATCTCATGTTCAAAGCTCCAACGAAGCCACGCAATTGCTTCCGCCGCTGTTCGTTGTCGGTGGCGAGAAGCTACTCGAGAATATGGCGTCAGCGCGAGAGAAATGCATCGTTGCGACCTGTTTCGCGCCACATTGGACAAGACCCCGGGACCGCTGCTCGACGCGCGACTTCATTCACAAATGAAATGGATCTGTCATGCCCGAATTGAGCTGTGTCAACCTTTGGCAGCCCCAGTTCTCCACAGACTTGAGCTGGACTGTGGATGATCGTCGGTGCCGGGTGAACGATGCATGGGTAAAGCGTAGTTTTAACTACGCAGCATGGAAATGCAGATGTGTGGGAGGGGGGGGAGGGGTCGGCATGCTCTCGGCGCGAGTCTCGCATTGTAACGAGTCATGGTACCTGGATGCGACATCGAGTTGGCCAAAGGTTAAGAACCCTCGACAACGTGAGCGCTCCAGCGGTGGAGATGTCAGTTGCAATGCATGTGGCGAGAACCAGGCTGGTGGGCGGCGCCAAGTGCAGCGGCAGCTCCAGGCCATGTTGCCAACAAAATTCGTCGTAGTTCGCATCAAATGCCGACTCGTTTGCCCTGGAACAACTACTTTGTCCAGATGACAAACCCCGTCATGCAGACGATCGCTCCGCCACTCGATCTCTAGTCCCAAGAACTCTGTTCGTGTATCAAGCGCCGCTTCCCCTCATGCCGTCGTGAGTCGCTTGGTCGTTGCACCGCCCTCGTCGACACGTCGGTATCCACGCAACTCTCCCCCATGGCACACCGCGGTGCAAGCGTCGACGGCCGCGGCATCCCCACCCACGATGGGGTGCTGCCGCCGCCGTTTCTAGCGGTCATATGCACACCTGTACAGTACAAATCGACGCAGAAATGACAAAAGTCAATCGTGGAACGTGGGGGCATCTTGCTGGGATTTCAACATCTCATACCACGATAAAGGTCGGCCGGGTCTCACCGAGGGATACCTACCAGTTTCTGTAGTAATGACCTGGAGGGAGCAAGGGCTCGCCCGACGCAAATGCCGTCGACGCGGTGGTGTCGACCTCGGTGCGCATCCACGTCGGCGGGCGCTCCATGTGCACTCGATGACTTTTTGGAAAATCGTGCGAGTTGGTGGCCAAAATTCAACAATATCAGAAATCGAAGAGAATCGTATTTTAAAAGGTTTTTCAATCGAGACTGTCGACAACTATCCAAGTTGAACTACGTTATCGGACAGGTTATGTGTTCTCAAAGGTCTGGCTGTGACCTTTCGATCACCCTTTGTACGGTACCGACGTGCCCCACCACTTCGGATGACGACGAATCGACGGCACATTTTTCACGGATGCACTCGCGACTGCATACTCTCGTCGTCGTGCTGTGGCTAAGCGGACAATCGAGCTCGGCGCAAGAACGCGCGCCGCTGTGCAAAGTTCCCGCTTGCATCCATGGCCACCGCTGCACGTACACTGCGCCACCACCCCAGACAGACGGCATGGCAAGCGTTCGTGAATGCACTTGCACGTGCATATCGGACTATCGGACGCCCCCAACGGACGGACCCGTGTTACGAAGACCATGCTCCGTGGATGCGCAATGCCCACCGGGCCAAGTTTGTTTTGATGGCGACACGTGGGCTGGGTTTTGCCTGACACACCACGCCAAGCCGTCCACGTCGGCGAAGCGGTCAAAGCCAAGCTCGTTGAGGCGGTCGCCTCCGTCATCGACGGCCAACCGCCTCACAGAAACGATGGCAACAAGCACAGTGCACCCACCCGCCCACGACGGGAAGAAGCCCCTGCGAAAGCCAACCTCCACCACTCCGACGTGCTCGAATACTCAGCTTGCTTACGTTGCAGCTTGCAGTGTGGTCGCTGGTGCTGTCGTCGGGGTTGTCGGGACAGCGGCAGTCTTGATGCAGTGCGTCCTGCCCAGGCTTCGCGGTTGACTGGAACCACGAAGCATGCCCGCCCTGGTGAGCAGACGATCGAGACCATGTCCACCGCACATAATTTATCTTATCTAGTCTTTCCTTCGACATGAACAGCAGCGACAAACGCGTCGATTTCATGCAGGAAGCAGGATGAAAGCGGCACCCCCGTCATGTAGCAGTCTCCTCTTGACCCGGCCCTCCAAGTGCGCAGACGCATCCACGTACTACCTGGCAAACGACGCAACGTGGGCTACACTTGGGCAACTCCACTTCGAAAACGGATCGCGAGCTTCTATTACCCTGCGTCCCTCGTACAGATCCGAGACACACTGTTGCGTCGTGCGTCATTCACGCCGTCCACGATGGAAAGGCAATGAAGCTCCACGCGGCCTGCAAGTCGAGTAGGCTAACGGCACGAGCTCAGCATGGTCCTCAGGGGACAAACACGAAGAATATCTCGATGGAATGGACGCGGTCGGCGCGTCGGCGTTGTCTAGAGCCATCGTCTGACTATGTAGGGATGCCGACGAATCCTGCTGGGTCAAGCAGGTAATATACAATATTTTTTTGTATTTGGTGCATTTATATTTATATCGCTTCAATATCGCGCCGGTGCATCCATCGTTCACAAGTTGGCATTATCAAGACGACAGTCCTCGTCGCCGGCGCCACCGGCTTCATCGCGTCCCACGCGATCCAGCAGCTGCTAGAAAAGACTCCGTATCACGTGCACGGCACCGTCCGCAGCCTCCAAAAGCCCGACACGTTTGCGCACTTGACCGCCCTTTCTGACACCTCGTCGAAGCCTACTTGTTGGACGCTGACGTGTGGGCAAGTGCTGCGAAAGACTGCGATGCTGTGTTTTATATTCCGAGCCCGTACTCGCTCACTGTCAACGACCCCCAGTAGGATTTGGTTGAACCTGCCGAGCGCGGCACCGAGAACGTCATTCGAGGTGCGATCCGCGAAGCCTCTGTTGCAGGCAATGTGTTGACAAGGTCGATGGCGGCGATTACCGACTCTCCCGTGCTTGGCAAGGTATTTCACCGAAGAAGACAGGAACACTCGCTCCAACTTGCACCGAAACCCGTACTACTACTACTCGAAAGTTTGCGGCGAGAAGAAGGCGTGGAAACTATTGAAGGACGTGCCACACAAACGCCTCGTCGAGTTCTACTCGTTTCTCGTCGTCGGACCGTCCATGACTTATGCCATCAACGAATCCATCGTGACGTTCATCCACGTGCTCAACGGCGAGCTGCCGGCGATGGCCGACTTGTGGGGCATCGTCGACGTCCGGGATGTCGCCAATGCCCACATCCTAGCACTGACGAATCCCCGTGCCCACGGCCGACGCATCTTGACTAGCCAAGTGCTGTCCATGCACGATGCTGCGAGAACAGCACCCCCCGTCGAGGCTGCCCAAGTGGACCGCGCCTAATGTTGTCGTGAACGTGATGGCAAGCTTCAAACCGGCAGGGATGGCCCAGTGCATGCGAACTAACGTCGGCAACGGTGAAGGAATTGGGACTCGACTACCGCCAAGACGCGGTGGGGTTGGACTGTTGTTGCTGAGCTCCAAGTTGCATGGCGAGTTGCATATATGGACTGGACAGCCAAGCAAGTGCACATGCTCCTTCCAAAAGCGGGTTTCAGGTAGTGCGCATTGCAGGTAGAGTCGACTGGAATCGAGGCGAAATACTCCGATGCAAAGGTCAGACGGCGTGTTGCAGAATCACGACTGGATGGGATGCACCCATCATAGCGTGCTACGGGCTGCACGTTGTACTCGACCAAGCATGCTCGGAGAGCTCGTCGTGGAGGCATCGCGGAGGTGAGTTCATCGCTAGCACCTCGTCGACCGAGGTCACGCCTCGGTCGAGTCGGTCTGCGCTGTCTGGCCGAGGTGTTGAGATCGTGATCGAGCCGTGGCATCTCCAATACCGTTGCTCAAGATCGGCGCAATTCAACGCACAAGCCGCACGGTGTGGTGAGCGAACGTGGTCGTCAGGGAAGCGACCTGAGGATCTGTGTCGACGTCGCCATGCAGGCCATTTCGACGGACACGGCCGCAACCACTCTCGTCCCAAGCCTCATTCAGTCGTCATGGCTTTGTCAGATCTGTACACGATGGACTGTTGCCATCCTTGAGCACATCTTTGACCTGCCCCGGTGGCGCCGCCACGACCGTCACCTTGTATATTTTAATTGAACTTGTCAAAAAAATTCTGAATACAAACTTTCATAGAAACTGCCAACCCTCCCCTGCTTGCAATCGTTCGACACGCCCAGCAAGTGGACGACGACGCAAATCTCCAAGCCATCACCGCCACCATCATCACCACAGTAGACAAGATCGCAGCGATGACGGGAGTGAAAGGGTCGACACATCATCCGACTCCACCACACAACTCTTCCGAGCGGCCCAGATCATGCTTCGCCCCACGAACGCGTCGTCCAACTTGCATGTATTCGCACGTTAATACACATCGTTCGTGTGGGGGTGTTTTCATTTCCCTTAATCGCAACACAACTGCAGCAAGAGCATTGCAAAGTCCTCAACAACGTCCAGCAACACCGTTTATCTGTTGGCCTTGGCAACACGTTCGACTTCGTCCTTCTTCTTGATCGCGTACGAGTTGGAGCTGCCCTTGGCGGCGTTGATCAACTCATCGGCCAAGCATTCAGCAATCGTCTACGTCGAAGCGTCAACACAACAATGATGGCTAGAAAGGACGGAAGTCGAGGGGGTACCTTGACGTTGCGGAAAGCGGCTTCGCGGGCACCAGTGCTCAACAAGTACAAGGCTTGGTTGACGCGGCGGAAGGGAGAAACATCCACACCTTGGCGGCGCACGACACCGGCGGAACCGACACGGGTCGAGTCTTCGCGGGGGCCGGCGTTGATGACGGCATCGACCAAGACTTGGAGGGGGTTTTGGTCGGTCAACAAGTGGATGATTTCCAACGTGTGACGCAAGATGCGGGTAGCCATGAGCTTCTTGCCCGAGTTGCGTCCATGGCGCATGAGCGAGTTGCCCAAACGTTCAACGATGGGGCACAGTGCCTTGCGGAAGCGCTTCTTTTGGTAGCGTTGCGCGGTGTGGGGCAAGAAGGTGGCAGCCTTGCCGGTGACAGCGACGTAGTCGATCAAGGCCACGTCGTTGACCTTGATGTCATCGTAGGTCCTAAGGAGAGGGAGATGCCGAGGTCAGAATCGTCCACCTGTCGCTTTGCTGCGTCACTGCGTCAAATCAAGGCCGCCCCTGGCTATGCTCAACCCAATCTTTCATGCCCTTGCCGTCGACATGCGCGAGGACGATCCATCTGCATGCACACGTACCACTTGTTGAACAACTTCACTTCGGCAGCGACTTCGGCCATATTCAAACTTCTCGGGAAATGAAAACGGAAATGACTGGTGCTTTGGCCCAAGGAAGCTTATCCGGTATTCCGGATAAAATGGCTCGTGTTGGTTGGTGGCGGATGGTGTGGCGTTATATTCGGTTGCGTTAAATGCGTTTTACTTGCCTCCCTGCATCTTGAAGGGGGAGGTCCGAGTATAACGCATACATCACGGAAAAAACCTATTTAGACCATTCTGTTGTGCGAATGCTATTTGCGATATTGTCGGCGGTTGGTCAGTGACAATGGGCCGAGGCCACCTCCCGACAAGATGAACGCTCATTGCCTTGATGCCCGGCCCCACGGCGCCGGCAAGAGCACAATGTCGGCAATGACCCGACGAGCTTGCACAGAACGCTATGCTTGATAGTGAAAGCAACGCTGGAGGCTGGCTGTTGTCGTAGGATTTCACTGCATTCGCAAGCGGTGCGGCTTCAACACTCTTTATGGAGCGCCGGGCTGGAACGCAGCCAACTCTCGTGCTTTTGTGGTATCTCTCGTGGCCGGGATACTGTGCGTCATGTCCGAAATGCGATTTTTCAATACCCATCCCCGGTGTGAGGTAAGCATGGAACTTGCATGCAGGTCCTCTGAAGTCATTGCAAAGCAATTCCTTCCGTGTCGAGATTCGTCGCTACATGCAGTATTTGCTGCCATCGTGCTATGAACCACGCATGGCCCGCCTGCATGTCGCGCTAACGTTGACGAAGAAGGGTGGTGTGTTCGTTCGCAAATGCTTCATTTTTGTGGAGTACACAAAATAGTTGTGCATGCAAGTTCGATACAATGGTCAGTATGCTACACTATTCGGGGAGGAAGCTGCGGCTCACTTGCCCACACAAGCCTATTCTCGGAATAACAAGAATATGCCAATAGTACCAGCACTTCGACTTGAATATGGTGTTCTGAGTCATTTCTGCCACAAAGTCCTTTGGCTACGTCCAAGCAACGCGCCCTTCCTGCGTTCGAATGAGGGACTAACAAACGCTACCTCTCTTGATGTCGCGATGGATTTGCCACTGAGCACAGACAACCTTGCACGACGTAAGTGGAATGCAAACATAAAATTTGCATTTTTCGTTGTGGAACGAAAAATGCCAAGTACTGATTTCCCTCACAAAGTCGAACAGGTCAAAGTGAAAAATTCTTGAAAGTTAA